AGACATGATAGGAAGCTACTTTATTATGAAGGTGGTTGGTTTTATAATGGATTTGATTTGGGTTCTTCATAAATGTAATTTAGTAATAATTATCATTACTCTGGAAAATAAGAAAAGTAATGGGATACATACATTCAAAGGTTTGGGGTCAGTAAGATTTTTTCATGTCTCAAGAAGTCTCTTATGATTAATAAGGCTGCATTTATTTGTTCAAATGTATAACAGTAAAAACTGTAATATTGTGAAATATTATAATTTAAAATAACTTATTTAATATATTTTAAAATGTTATTTATGCAAAGCTAAATTTTCAGCAGCCATTACTTCAGTCTTCAGTGTCACATGATCCTTCAGAAATCATTCTAATATGCTAATTTGCTGCTCAAGAGACATCTCTTCTTATTATCAATGTTGAAAACAGTCGTGCTGATTAATATTTTTGTGCAAACCGTGATACATTCTTTGATGAACAGAAAATTCAAAAGAACAGCATTTATTTGAAATAGTAGACTTTTACGTTGTTACAAAATATTTCTCTCACTTTGGATCTTGCTGAATAACATCTGTGCTGCTTTTTAAAACTTTATATTTTTGATGAAATTTTAGAAGAACATCATTCATTTGAAATACAAGTGTTTCGTAAAATTATTAACTATACTGTCACTTTCGATCAATTGAATGCGTCCTTGCTGAATAAATTTTTTTTCTAAAATAAAAACAAAAAATAAAACCTACTGACCTCAAACTTTTCAATGGTAGTTTAATTGTTTTACAGCCAGTCAGACGAAGCATATAGTCACATCCATGAAATCGCTCATATTGGGACAGATCTGAAATTCTCCTCTTTAGAAAGCATTTTCTTTTCCTAATCTGCATTCTCTTTATATTGTAAGCTTCATCTTCATTTTGTTAGCAGTCTGTCATTCTCTTTTATTTTTTATCTCTGTTATTCTGTGTTCATGGCTGTGCACTTGAAAGGGAGCAGCTCAAGCCCCATCAATACCCCTCCTCTGAGAGCCAGTGGTATGACTACACACACTACAGAAATACATTAGAGGAAGAGCTCACACGCTCCTCCCGTACAGCTACAAAACAAGCATGGCATTGCATTCTGCTCATTAATAAACTGCTGCTACTGCACCCGTTAGTCAGCTTTGTTACAGATGCCATTCATTCCTCACATTCTGCCCTGCAGTCATAACTGAACTCGACATGTAATGCTAAGTTTACTGTTTTATTCACAAATAATCTCCATTGTTGTATAGCGCAACCTAATTTGTAGGCCTCGGCTCTCTGTCTTGCCTTTCCACTGTCTCTTCAGAGTTGTCTTCTGCTTTTTCCTTTCTTTTCTCTGCAGTTTCTCGCTCAGAAACTAAGTATAGTCCTTTGCTGGAGCAGGGTAGAGGTATGTACTGTATTTCACTATGCAGTTTATTTGATCAATCCTCTGGATGATTAAACACAAAAATCTCATAGCTGCACGCTTCATGGAAAACTTCAAACCCAGTTGCCCAGTCCATATGTCAAAATGTTGTTGTAATGCCTGTAGTCCCCCGTAACAACAGCGTCCATGGACATAAATTCAATCCCAGCACAATAGAGAGCAAACATGTGCTGTGAAAGCCCTATATGCCAAAACCACTGTTTCCAGGGAATATCCCACTCTCATTGACAGAGTGTTTCCAGCAACTTCTTTCTGTTTGCAAAGCACTGAGTGCAAATAAACCAGTGAAATATTTCACAAGTACACTCCTGAACAACAGTATCCAAGTATCAGAGTGCTTGATCTCAACGTTTTCTTACTGTACTCTTCTGAAGATGTTTTTATGAATACAAACAATAGAAGTACTCGGAGGCAGTGTTTTTTTAGCTTTATGTGATGTGATAAATGTTTCTTTTGATTCTGGCTTGATGTTAGGTGTACATGGTAGGAAAAACTACTGTATGTCAGCAAAAGGTTTTTCATTTTAATGCCTTTGTGTTTTGTCGCTGGGATGTTTAAAGATCCCATAGTTACCTGCCTGCCAGACTCCAGTCTCACATCTGCCCCTCAGCACTCTGTTCCTGTTGTCACAGCTGAGATGTGAAATGCAGCTGTGTGCCGTTGTCTTTATGCACCAAAAATGCTTTCCATAATGCAAGTCATATGGTTGCAGAGTGAACTCGCTTTAATTGGGATTCTAGTGTCACATAGCCTTTGCTTCAAGTGCAAGCTGGAGCTGTTGTTTTTCATGCTTTTTTGTTTTGTTTATCAGCATTCATCGTAGCGTATAAGCATGGCTTACATTGCCGATGGTGGCAACTCAAATGCGAATGCCTTGTTTTCTTCTGTTCAGAAGAATCTGACCAGACACTACTGTAAAATAACTCTCACTCCAGAAATGTTTGCAACTCCAACATGGGCTTTTTGGGTGTGTTTTCTCAGACAGTGGACAGAGCAACCATGGCACCAGTGCTAAGGGTGAGAGGCTTAGCGTTAAACTGAAAACTCTTCCAGGGTCCAATGAGCCCTATGAGGCCAGCACTCAGCAGGAAATAGGTGAGAAACAACATCACTCATCATTTTCAAGGAGATTCTTGTCATTGTGACTGATAAACAATCTAATAAAGATAAAATCGTGGTAGAATAATTCATTTTTTCAGTAAACAAACAGTAGTGAATGAAGCTTGCAATACCAAGGTTTAATTCTCATGGAATGTGTGACCTGATGAAATGTACACTTTGAGTGCAGTTGCTTGGATAAAAGCATCTGCCAAATGCATACATGTTAAATGTATGATGATAAATTATTATTACATTTCCCTGTTAACTGGCTGGCTTATTTCATAGCTTTAACAATTTTCTCTTTCGTGTGAAGGAAAGAAAGCTTCTAGCCTGGTCTGTGCTTATTAAAATGTATTGCTTCGATTGTATTCATCATTTTAGATGCTTCGTATGTCGATCCTTTGGGGCCTCAAATGCAGAGACCAAAAACTGCAGCAAGGAAACGCACTGAGGAAGATGAGTTTGCTGATGAAGAGCTGGGAGATGACTTACTGCCTGAGTGACGTGTGCAACAGTTATCAATTCAGTAGAAAATCTGATATATGTCAAGGCACTAGATTTTTCTGTATTTTATAGCACTGTATTTTTAGTAGTACTAAAAATACCAGTTCTTCATGCCCAGGGATTTTATATGTCATTGCATTATGCTTTACTATATTTTGTAATAGTAGTGCATTGTGTGTATATGTATAATTACATTTAGAAACAAATACAGCTTATTCAAGATTATTGAATTTTGTGCATTGAAATGTAAAGATATCAACTTTTGTATGCCCTGCAAACAGTGAAGCTAAAGACATTGTAAGTGTGAAATATTAAAGCACAGTATAAGACTTTTCTTTGGAATCTGATGATTCAATCTCTTAAATATCTAAAAGGAATACAGCACATTCCAGGAGGAAAAAAAAAACATCAATGTGAGATTTTTCACATCAGCTCAAGCAGATCATGATCATTATTCAGTATCAAACAGTCCGCCCAGTAACTGGAGTCAAGTATCCTGAGCGCATTTACGGGACGGGCGGATGAGACAGCTTTACGCAACAACTGGGCAGTTTCTGTAGGTCGATTTAAGAGCTCTCAAAGGTTTACTTGAATATATCTTTCCCAGCAATCTCTTCCTGACAGTAAAGCGCGTTTAGACGCGGTGTAAACTGAAATGCGTGGTCGAGCTGTTTCGACGCTTGTGTTGGTGTTGCTGTGGTGCTGCGGGAGCGCGCCGGGTGAACGGGGACTGAAGGTGTCCAGGACAGCACCGAGGACTCGCTCATGTCTGGACTTACCAGAGGAGATTTTGGAGCAGATGTTTGGAAGACTGTCGGTTGGGGTGCTCAGCGCGTTTCATCACACCCTGCAGCTCGCCCCTCCAGAGCGCCAGAATCTGACCTGTCAATCAGCGTCTCGCCTGGCGCGTGGCAGACCACGAACCCCAGTCAACTTCCTCAGCCTCTCGCCGTGGGCGTACAGGTAGGACCCCAAAGCCCTGAAGACTAGGATGGGAATACAAAGGAGTTTAGCGATTTTAGTGTGTATGTGGAAGAAATATTTAGAAGTGGGGGTTTTTTCGGACATAGTGGCGGCATAAATGCAAAAATACAAACAAAAATGTTAACAGTTCATTCGTTAATTCGTTTTTATAAACTCAGTTTGTATCCTTTATTCGTTAAAAAATACAAATAAGTAAATAAAAAACACTACAAAATAGGCTAACTCATATTAATAACGTCATGAAAAAATATAAGATACCACAATTTTTGGATTATTTCGAGATGGCGAAAGTAATAACATGCGATTCCGCAAATCAGATTGATTCAGTAACCGCAGCGTCTGATTCACACGTATTTTGACGCAAAAAAAATCATTCAATCCAGAATCGATTTCGTTTCGGTCATGAAAATGATTCAGTTCTGAAGAACCGGTTCGCATGTGTGTTCATATAAGATTTGATGTCTTGTAAGATGTCTCGCCTTTTTGTCTGCAATAAAATATTTTTTCATTGTTATTGATCCAAGAATCTCTCATGATCCAGCGAGGTACCCGCGATATCTCCCTGAGGCGTACTGTTTGTGTAAAGGATGCCTGACCGGACCGAACGGGGAGGAAAGTGACCGCTTCCGCAGCACTCCAGTGTACATGCCGACCGTCATACTGCGCCGGACCGGCTCGTGTGTCGGGGGCCGTCATTCCTACACAGAGAGCTACGTGTCCATCGCCGTGGGTTGTACTTGTGTGCCATTGTTGGAAAGAGACAGAAAAACACAGAAGAGCAAGCCAAGTGTGAAAAGAGTCTCATCTAAAAATTCCAGCACCTTTAGAAAGAACTGATCTGGTTCATTTTTAGACTTTTTTTCCTGTCAGTTTTCTTCTTTCACTTCATTTTTGGTGAGCAAAAAACTTGAGACAGAACTTGCTCTCACAGCTGCAGATTCTAGTCTGCAGTGCCAAGCAAAAGGAAAACTTACTGTGCCAAAATACAAATATTTTCTAATCCAAAGTACTTGGGAAAAGCCCATCAGCATCATGGTTTTAAATAAACTAATGTAGTTCAACTGTTTTCAAGTATACAGAAGATCACTAGAAATGCTTCTGTTAAAGGCAAGCATGCATGGATATCATTTACAAGAGGACATATTATTTAGCTTGACTTTGTCAGTTCTCCTATGATTACTTTATTCAAACCACCAACAACACCACTGATAACGCAAAAGTCTAGTGTATTGTATAATATATATAAACGCATTTCAAACATTCACTTCTAGCCCATTTTATGCATTGAAACAAAGTTAAGCTGTCTGAAATTGTTATGCCTGAAAGCTGGGTGTGCAATTGACAATGCAAGTCAGCCAAAGCATAATCAAAGACTGATCACCGATCTCTGATGAAGGGCCAAATCCTCCGCTCTAATATCTGGATCTTGCTATGAACCATTTGGAGTGAGAGTATTTATTGTTCCACATGATCATCTGATGTTTCATGGGAAAAAAACAATGTTCAAATGTTGGCAGATTGGAAGCTTTTTTCATGAGAGAAGGCTTGATTCATAGTTAACATAGCAGCGGAACTCATTGGCCAGATTGTGATTGTGTTTTGGTAAAAAACTGCATATCTTCAGATCCATAAGTTTCCCAGAAGGCTCCTCCATAATAGCTCCTATAAGAATAAGGCAAAGGTGAACATGAACAAGACATAAAAAAAACTTTTTAAGAATCTGCAACATTATATATGTATATATTATACAGGTGCATCTCAATAAATTAGAATGTCGTACTGTCAGATCAGCAGTCTTCCCCATGATTGTGTAGCCTAGTGAACCAAACTGAGAGACCATTTTGAAGGCTCAGGAAACCTTTGCAGGTGTTTTGAGTTGATTAGCTGATTGGCATGTCACCATATTCTAATTTGTTGAGATAGTGAATTGGTGGGTTTTTGTTAAATGTGAGCCAAAATCATCACAATTAAAAGAACCAAAGACTTAAAGTACTTCAGTCTGTGTGCATTTAATTTATTTAATACACGAGTTTCACAATTTGAGTTGAATTACTGAAATAAATGAACTTTTCCACGACATTCTAATTTATTGAGATGCACCTGTATATATTCATTGCCACTTGCCTGTGCAGAGCAGAATTTTTCCCTTAGTGAGGTATTTAATGGTGAGCGCCACCTTGCCGAGACACTCTTCAGACAGGTATGGAGGATCTGCGATGACGATGTCAAAGCTCTGAGGAAGCAGACCCTCAGGCAGGCACAGAGGGTTGTTGTAATCATAAAACACAAACTCATCTCCATATGCTGCGAAGCGTCTGTCAAACTCCAGCAAAACAGCAGACACACTGTCCGACCTCATGGATTCCAACTGTTTCAGCTTCTGATACACACTTGGTGCACTTATACAAGCTATCCTACAAGCCAGGAAAAAAAAAAACATTTGGGTGAGGGGGGACACATAATGGAGCAGTAATATACAGTAGTCAACATCTGAAGTGGATCAAAAAAAGTTAATCAAAGTTGTCCTAAGACAAGAACGGGTATTGTTTTGGTTTAAGGACAACTTTTATGAACTTTTTTTTGATCCACTTCAAATGTTGACTACTGTATATTGGGGTCAGTAAGATTTATTAATTTTTTCAAAAAGAGTGAAAACCTATTTAGTAAGATCACAAGTGAGCTAAATCTTTTGTAACACTGTAAAAGTCTTTACTATTTCAAATAAATACTGTTCTTTTGAATTGTATGTTCATCAAAGAATGTATCACGGTTTGCACAAAAATATTAAGCAGCACGACTGTTTTCAACACTGATAAGAAGAAATGTTTATTGAGCACCAAATCAGTATTTTATAATGATTTCTGAAGGATCATGTGACACTAAAGACTGGAGTAATGATGCTGATATTCAGCTTTGTCATCACAGAAATAAATTACATTCTAAAATATATTCAAATAGAAAACATCTATTTTAAATAGTAAAAAAACCCCACAATATTACGTTTTTTTAAAAGGGGTCATGAACTGAGAAATCAAATTTCCCTTGATCTTTTGACATATAACAGGTCATTGTACTATAAATACATCCTGCAAGTTTCAGAACTCAAAACGTTCTCTTTAGTCTAAAAATAGCTTATATTGAAGCCAATCTGATAAAAAAAAAACAACAACTACAGATTGTTTTGAATCTAAAATAAAACACTTGTGACTTGTGTAGATTAATAGGGGGAAGTCAACCTGTCAAATACCAAGAGTATTTTCCCACTTAATGAGACATAAGAACAATTACATGTAAATGTTAATTTTTTAGTTTTTCAATGACTATGATCAACCATGTTTTTAATGTATTGGTTGAGTGAATGTTTTCGCTCACCGCACAATTAAAAAAAACACTGTTGTCGCCTCCTACTGGTGCATTGAGGTAACCTCCGGTAAGGGCCATCAAATGAACGCCCATCACTACTGAACTTCTGCTCTACACATGCCGAAACGATTGCACACGTGTCAAATCTGACCAAATGCGCTTGAGACCAACCTGCCATGTTCTCCAGCCTGCTGCATGACTTCCTCTGCTAACCGTGTGGCCGTGTCTTCACTGTACCAGAACTGACTCATGCGCTGTTTACAGAAACACGAGCTGGTTAGGTACGCACTTGATATATACTTGTGTTTAACAAATATATACAAGATCATGTATAACAATCAACAGATCATCACTCAAGGCACTTCTAGTACATTTACTGTACCCAGTCTTCCTCTACAGCACCAACACAGAACTTGTCGGTCTTGGTGGAGTTTTGTTCCAGTCCCGTCCTTCCACTCTCGGCATAAAACTCTTGCAGCGCTGCGAGGGTCGCCGCGGAGAGCTGAGGCACATCATCGTCGCTGTCGCTCATGATAACAGATCCTTCATCGCTAAATGACACGGGAACACGTCAACTACGGGAGGCATGCTGAAAAAAACAGCATAACGCTCATTCAGTGATGATGCTGACGGTCGCAAACGATATTATATATAGACCCAACATAGGATTAATCCAGTCGTTACACTTACCAACGTACGACGCCGTTAGTGTGTATTTAAGCAGTATTTTACAAGCTTACAACAGAGGAACAGAACATAGCAAACAGCTTCACACGTGTCTGCACTACGGTGGCCGAGGGAGTACAATCACACTAAAGCCCAACAGCAATTGAAACGCGAAAAAGATTTAAGCGAGCATATTTCCAGACCAGACATTTCATTTATACAGATAACATATTGAAAATGTAGACCAAGAAAGACGACTCACTTTTTATAGCAAGTTTATATACACTTTACAGACCATTTCAGGCATTCCAAAATAACAATTAGTGCGTTGAACAATGGAAATAAAGACCACCAAATGCCCTGAATAAAACAACTGACATCCCTCGATCATCATTTTTGGTATTTTATTGCTACAGCAACTTTGACTCCGAGTGTGCATGTGCTAGTCTAAGTGGAACCTTGTTGAAGTTATTTTTGAAAAATAAAACCTTATTGGAAACATCATGCGATCATCTGAAAAATGTCTATCATAATTTGTCAGACATTAATTTTTTTCATGTTGAGAACGCTTTGTGATACTGCTGCGATCGGGGCGAAATGATCAACGGCAAAGAGTAAAACTACAATCAATCAAATAAATCCGAAAGAAAAATTCAAACTAGCCCCCCTTGTCCTTCAGGTAAAGTTATATTAAAAAAATTTAAAGTTCTGTCAACTATAATCTTATAAAAACCTTTCAGTCCTTTTAAACACTTCCATTTTTTGTCTTTTTTTGAAGATATATATACATCCTTAAACACAAAAGTGATTTGGTTTTCCAAAAGGGCCTTCCTGCAATTAAAGTTTCATTGGGAAAGGCTTTTTTGTTATCATGGCAACCACAGCTCACAATCCTAGTTACCATGATAGCAGTAGGACAAGGTTCTATTCGTCACTGTAGACACAGCTGGATCCGAGCCGTGAGAAACCAAAGGCACTGGAGGAGAAGCGTCTGCAAAAGACTGTGTTTGTTTGTGTAAAAGGGGAAGGTCAGTTTTAAGAAAGATTACCCCTCTGCATTTCATAAATATTAATCTGAGGAGCTCTCAGTGGTAAAGTAAACAATGGTCAGATCAGACTGAGATGATCACAGCCGGCCGTCCACTCTCCTCTCGGCCTTTGCCAGCCTCTCTCTCCTCTCTGTGTGTCAGAAGGCCCAGAGGCGTCTCAGCCTGTGCGGCGGGAGCTGAGCATCTCCATGGTTTGGCATGGTGAAAGGCTTCTCTGAGTGGAGAGGGGAAGCTGTTGTGGACAGCTGCTGGAGGAAGTGGCTTATTTGACACACAGAAGCCCCCCCACATTGGCAACAAACTCCTCCAGGCTCTTCAGAAAGGCCACCTTCTGTTTGCGGTCCATGGTTGGAGGCGTGCTGCTGGCAGTGAGGCTGTTGAACGCGTCTGCCAGCCGCTGGTAGATCACGGCGTCCCTCTGATTGGAGAGCAGCGTCTCCACCAGCTCTGAATACTCTGCCTAAGACAAACACCATCACTTATTAAAACCTTGCATCAACTGCTAATACATCACAAGATCATCCATTTCTTTCAGGTAAACTTCATACTGTAAGCATAAAACGTACCTGGTGAAGGCACACTAGCGTATAGAGCGCTTCTCCAGCTGCTACGGTCATCTCAGTGTTGTGCTTCTGGAGCACCAGCATGTCAAACACCAGCTGTGGAGGAAGAAAGAGTGACAGAGAAATGTACATTATTAATCAACATTTTATACATGTATATTAATCACAGACTAGGACATTACAATGAAGGTTAGTGACATTAGCGCAAGTTTGACCATTTTGAGATAATTGACATCAGCCAATTACTCTCAGTTAATACTGACAGGAAATAATACTGACATATTTGTCATCCCTTTTATGTCAGTCCATATCTACTGACAGCCTTGTCAATAGAAATACTTTTTTTTTTGTGAATTTTGAGAAAATATGGTATAAAATGTGTTTACTTGTTTTGTGCTGAGATGTTCTCCTTCGTCGTTGTATTATGTACTCTACTGTTCAAAAGTTTGGGGTCAGTAAGACTTGTTTTTGAAAGAAATTAATAATTTTATTACTTTAATGAATGGCAACATACATCGCCTGTTACAAACCCACAACAGTTGACCACTGGTTTAGACATCATGTGACTCACTTTAAGGAAATGTCGTGTGGCAATAAATAGGGGTGTGTCCTTTTCCTGTGTCTTGGCGCACTGCTCAGCCAATGGGGATAAAGCCTCAAGACACAGCTGACTGATCTCTGAGCTCATTCTGCAGTGTGTGTTAAGGAAAAACCACCATAATTCAACAACAAAAACTCTCAACAATGAAAATCCAACACAATGTGCTTAACAAGCACAGACTAAAATAATGTAACTCTCTTCTTTATACACAAAAACAGCAAGGATACGAGGTCATGCCCAGCTCCAGGGAGCACATGAGACTTTTGAAGAGCTCCTCAGGCAGCTGAGGGATCTTCTCTGGGAAAATCTCACAGATGAAGGTGATGAGCTTATAATACTGGTTACACAGAGATGGGAACTGGGTAGAAGAAAAAGAAAGACGGAGTACTTCAGAACAGTAGCACACCTTTTACTTCAAGTTTCTGAGTTTGCTATGAAATGACGTAAGAACATCTGAGTTGATTAAAAACTTTCAAAATGCTTCTCAAAAGTCAAATTTTACCTTAAGCAAGTCCTGAGACATGAGGGGCAGCACAATATTCACCCCATACAGCACAACATCAGCAGCTGATACGGCCCGTCCAGCACCAGAGCTCTGCTCCTGCCCACGAAACACCTCATCTGCACACAAAACACACGTATTCTTCATCTCAGCTCACACGCTATGATGCAAATGACATGAATCATGAATGAACACTCATACCAGTGTCACTAAAGTCAATGAACTCTTTGGAGAGCAGGTTGGTGAGGAGCTCCATGATTAGCAGAAGGTCCTGGTATTGGTCCTCCTCTGCGGCTACATCTAGTCTCTTGCGACCCAGATTGTTCTTGGAGTAAACCTGCAGCAGCGTCAAGCACACCTCATAAAGTTTCATAGACTTAGTCTGCGGAGACAGAGAGGTGGTGCATAGAAAAACATATTTAGGATGCAGTACGAATGCGGTCTTCTCTACAAATACCGCGCATGAAAGGCTACATCTAAAATGTGTGATCACATCAAAATCAATGCAAGCACTTATGTCTCACCTCGCCCAAGTAGCAGATCTGTTTGTGGGCCACTTCCACAAAAACCTCAATGATGAGGTTGACCGTTTCTGGTGAGTTTCTGTAGACCTCCATGAGGCCAATGCAGCTGGACAGGAAGTCCATGAGGAAGCTGAAGAGAGATGCCACATTGTCGATCTGCGTCGCTTCAGCTATGCCACACAGAGCTTCCAGAGTGGCAATGATCTCCTGCTTCACAGCTTCCTCTTGACAGATCTGAGCAAAGTTCTCCTGGTTAATGAGGTTGAGGAAGCGCTGCTGGAGTGGATGCAGTACCTGCAGCGCAGAGACAGAAAGAAGGAGATGAAGAGTAATGAGGCCATGCTTCATAAACTAATTTTTTCCCTGCTTTGTGTTCTCTTCAGCATAATGCTTGATCTTCCAGATATTTCTCAATAATCCTTTTGTTTTTCACCTCGGCCCAGTATTGCTGTTTGGTATCAGAATCCATGTGAGCAAAGCCGCCCAGGACAAGGGCCTTCATCAGGGTCCGCTGGACTGTGCTGGACAGCATATGCAAAGGAGGGCTGCGACTGGCAAACTGCTTGGCCAAGTTCCACCAGTTCTCACACTGCACCACGATGTTTGCCCTGAACCGTAAGAGAGGAACGAGTTGAGATAAACACAGATGAACAAGCCTCATATCAAGGAAGTACATTTTGCAGAAGAGTTAATGGAATAGTTCTCCCAAGAAATCATCTTTCCATCACTCATATGAAATTTCAGACCTGTATGACATTCAAATGTGTTGCATCACTATTATTTATGCAACCTGCAAGAGTTTGAATTTGCCAAGTTTGAACATGCACATAAACTACCGTCAAAAAGTTTGGGATCAGTTTTTTTGTATTTTTTAACTTACTTTTATTCAGTATGCATTAAATTTATCAAATATGACAGTAAAGAAAATTATAACCTTACAAAGGATTTATATTTCGAAAAAATGCTATTATTTTGAACTGTTGAAGTAATCCTAAAAATGTCAATTTTTTTCACACAAAAATATTAAGAGGGACAACTGTTTTCAACACTAATAATAAAAGTTTCTTGAGCATTAAATCAGCATATTAGAATGATTTCTGAATGATCATGTGACACTGAAGACTGGAGTAATGATGGTGAAAATTCAGCTTTGCCATCACAGGAATAAATTACATTTTAAAATATATTAAAATAAAAACAAACAGTAATCATTTTAAATTGTAATAATATTTAACAACATTACTATTTTTACTGTATTTTGCTGTTTTTACTTTTTTTTTTATATTTACTGAGCTTTTTCAAAAACAAAAAAAATCCTACTGCCTCAAACTTTTGATTGGTAGTGTACGTGAACAAGATTTAACAGTTACAGTGGAAAAAATTATTTATTTTCAGTAAGTGACTTTAAGGGATAGTTCCAGCAAAAAAAAAAATTCTGTCATCATTTGTTCCAAGTTGTTCCAAACCTGTATGAATCCGCTGAACACAAAGTAAGATATTTTGAATGTGTGTAACTGAAGAATGAAGAATGTGTGTAACTAAATAGTTTCTGGTTCCCCACTGACTTCCATAGCATTTTTTTTTCCATACTATGCAAGTCAGTGGGAACCATCAACTGTTGCGTTACCTACACAACTCAAAATATCTTATTTTTTTCAACAGAAGAAAAAAAACTATCCCTTTAAACATCAGTCTATTCCTAACACAAAGCTATCACATGACTTCAGAAGAATCTGAATATAGTAGCTGAGTCATATGTATCACTTTTGTGATTTGAAAAGTTGTGGCCTAATGGTTAGAGAGTCGGACTCGTAACCCAAAGTTTGCGGCCAGGTTCGAGTCTCATACCGGCAGGGATTGTAGGTGTAGTTACCAAAATTAGGTGTTAGATTGTAGGGTGGAGTGAATGTACAGCGCTCTCTCCCACCTTCAATACCACGACTGAGGTGCCCTTGAGCAAGGCACCGAACCCCCAACTGCTCCCCGGATGGGGTAAATGCAGAGCACTAATTCAGAGTATGGGTCACCATACTTGGCCACATGTCACGTCACTTTCACTTTTCACTTTCACTTTCATGGTGCTTTTTGTGCTTGACAATGCCTAATCACTATGCTTTCATTTGATGCAAAAAGCAGCATTCTTTACAAAAAAAACCCTTTATGAATGGACTTAAGTGTTAGCAAATGCCAGAAACTACTGCTTAATGCAATATTTATTTCTAAAAAGATCAGCATTGATATACAGTGCCATTTACTGTTAATTTACATTTATTCATGTAGCATTATGCAATGGTAAGTTAAGAAATCACTTTGCAATGCAATAGCACAATT